AGTGGTTGCTATGACTACTTGCAATCTGTTACTTGATATTTTAAAAAAATACAATTACCAATTTTTCCTAGTTGCAAGGAGGTTGTAGTGTTGTTGTCACTCTAGTGTGACTGAGCTATCATTAGTCACAGCTGATATTACTAAACACTCCTTTTATAGCACTCCTTAAATGTGCAATTTCATGCTCTTTTCCGTGTTTGGTTGTCTGTAGGAGATTGTTGGCCATTAATAAACTGTTCAAGAAACCTGTGTTCTGAGAAGATATTTTAAAATGAGGAGGAGGCAAACAGAACTAAAGACTGAGTGAGCTGCTCTGAAGCTGCTGCTGACCTTTTCAACCTGTGTGCGTTTACATCTGCCAACCTTATCGATGAGGCTGACCAGGACACAACCTGCATAAATGACCATTTTGGTTGTTTGAAACAGAGAAGACAAAGAGGGACACGACAAAAGAGAGAAAAAAAGAAGATCATGTATTGTGGGATAAATGTGACTCTGTTTGCATATTTAATTCCGAGGCCCACAGGATCTCTGAGTCAGAGCTGTGATTTTTATCCATTCCCATTAGGCTGGAAGACGTCTTCTTCAAAGTTAATTGCTCAAAACTACGTGAGTAAAATGACTGCAGGGCTGAAGCAGACCATTAACAATGGAAATACTACCACTGGCTGTCTCGCCTTGTTTATTCAAAGCTGATGGTTAATTTCTTATTTAGAATGCATCAGTTGCTGTGGGATTAATGAGCTGTGACTACAAGAGGCTTTTCCTTCAGAGTTTCTAAATGACTCGGCGTGAGTGACCACAGTGATAAAGATTAACAGTTTCACCTGCTCGGTGTGTTGTGATTGGACAACAAATCACGTTTCCCCTCTCACAAAGCTCTGAGACGTTGCACAGAGTAGAAGAGGTGGATAAAGCCAAAACGCTGAACTTGAGCTAAGTATTCCAGAATTTAGAGAAATGCATATCTTTTGTCTCAAAAGTTCTTCCTTTCAACACAGACAAAGCTTCATTTACAGAAAGTCAGTTAATTAGTGCAACTTATTAGGAGCACTGCAAGGTGAAAGAAATACAGAGAGCAAAGGGACCAATTCCTGCTTCACAGCTCTGCCTCATGTGTTCAAGTCAGACATTTTTATTTGTTATTTTTGACCATGGTGAGCTAAACCTAACAGATTTCAGGAGACATAGATTGCCCCTGAGAAGCTTTATCCAGCCAGGTATAGTTTATTGTTTGCCAAGCTGTGTCTCATTAGACACGCAGCCTAGAATAAATGTTTTCCCCATTCTACATGGAACAAAAGAAGAGACTAAGTGCAGTCACGTACCTGGATGTCCTTGTAGTTCTCCCTCAGGTCCATAAGACGGTGGTATGCCTTGATGGCTTCAGCAAAATCTCCAATGTCAGTGCTAACAACAATGAAGTTCTCCCAGATCTGCCAGTGTTCGTAATTACACTTAAGGGCTTCCTGCAGGGTTCGAAAAGCCTTATTTCTGCCAATGACAAAATGGAGAGACAAGTTAGAAGAAGATCATTAAATGTGTTGAACAGAGGTCTAGGAAGTTCCACGCTTGGTTCATTTCAAAACTGCTTGAGCTTAACTGGCAGTAGAACTAACCAGGTATTAATTAAAAACTCGCCTGCTTTGCTTCGGTTTCAGGCCC